TAATTATATTGATAACAGAACCTGGCAGCTCGCACGTTGTCTAAATTCTCAAGCAACATAAAATCCACATAAGAATACATTCCTTGTCCATCAATACGCCATGTATAAATTTTAACAACACACAAAAATAGAGCTTTCCCACGAGCGTTTGTTTGGTTTTTCAACACCATTTATAATTTTCTTTTAATAAAATCACGTATTGTCAAATGCTTAAATTTATTTATCTAATAATTATGCAGCACACAACCCTGAAATCTAAGAAAAAGTATGAGGAAGGCCATTAAATAGCAGCACACAACCCCGTGCCTTCCCCAGGAGTGAATATAACTACAACAACAACGACTACTACAACAACAAGCGAAAACGGTTGGTTACTGTCTATCAGTGTTGCCAATGTCATTTTCAAAAAGCTCCAAAAACTTGGAAAAAAGGCGTTTTACCAAACTAAAAGCACCAAATTTTTTTTAATCAAAGGATGCCTTTTTCATAACAGTTTGTATTTAACAAAAGCAAAAAATTAACAATATTTACAAGAATACATACATAAATCAATACACAAAACGTTTTCGCTCATAACGATTGAATAGCCTCTATACATGCTATGATGACTCAAGCTTACGACGTATTACCGAAGTACTATTAAAACTACTATATCTCGAGAAAGAAATATCGAATCGCAACACACGAAAATAATGACCTAAGTAGAAATTACCTAAAAATTTGATGTTTTCATTATATAACCTTAAATATCGCACAAGCCCGTGTTTTGGCAATCTGGGGGGAGGAAATCTAAAAATTCTAGTACTAGAGCAATTGTGCGGCCAGATTTGGATTCAGCACCAAGAAACGATGGTTTCACTCAGGTGGTAAAAAAATCAAAATTTGTACAAACATTAGAAAAGAAAAAAAGAAATACTTAACTTACCTGCGTACTAGCATTTTCAACGCGACTACAATTCAACAAGGTGGGTTTGCAACTTCAGCTTTTTATCAATCATGGTTGTATTTTAGTGCATGTAAATTTGTATATTCTTGTAAATTCCGCATCTTCATGAGACCCCACAGCTTATAATATTTCAAATTATTTCAGGTGTTAACTATCTCGGAGTAATATTAGTTGAAAAAAAGCACTTAAAAAGGCACTAGGCACTAAGTATTTTTTTTGGCGTTTTAATTTTCAAAAAGCACTAAATCTAGTGCTTTAAGCACAAGTTGGCAACTATGCTGTCTATACTGTGATGAAAAGAAAGCAAATATTGCAAATATAGGAATGTCAGAAAAACATCAATGCAAAGAAAACATCGATCATAATTAGACAT